GTGTCCTGTGATGGAAATTTAGAGCAAATACTGTGCAAACGACGGATGCTCCTACTTCAAACATAATGCAGGAGAAGTAGACTTCTACAAAAAAACACCTTGGGGCACCACTACTCTATTTTTAAGAAAAATTTCACCTATCAGCGGCAAGGCATCGCTTGTTTGGGGCATTGCTTCTGCTACCATCAACATAAACACGCAGAGAGACATAAAAATTGTGACGCCTGGAATTTTCTTCATTACTCTGAGACAGGGGTATCCTCAAAATTTTGGCAATATGGGCCAGAACACGAGCAGCTTACATAGATTGAGCTTCTCGCCGGAGTCTGCTGGTAATGTGAAACCGAGCAATGCGAGTGCAGAAATGAGCATGCTTGGCAATACAAGATTGAAACTGAAGAAATGGATATATTCATAATCCAGGGTAATTTAGTATCATCATTCCAGTGAGGTAAGAAACTCAGTGAACTCACCCGTAATAAAGTGTTCGTCTTCTTATGGATATTGTGAATGTTATATCATAATATGGCTCTGGACAACATTCATAGTAGAAAATAGAGCGTTTTGAAGTGAGATCTGAATGGTAATTCTCAAGACTATGCAATAAATATCTATTCCAATATTGAATTAAAATATTAGTTGCTTTCAGAACCTCTGCAATATTGAAACAGAATGTTTCTGCTCCTCGTGAGCGAAGTATCAAAATTATGTGAACATGGTTAAAAATCACAGATTGGATTTGTTTCACGAAGCTTGTGATATCCGATGCATCAAGAAAGGGCAAAACCCGATTGCGCTTCGCAAAATACATAGCTAAGTTCCTCATTTTCGCTGAAACTTGAGCACAAAAAGTTTTATTTATAAAATTACCAGAAAAGTACAGCAAAAAAGTGAACATTATATTGTCATTCATGTATATGTATAAAAATATGTATGTAAAAATGTGCAGGTGATAATTGTGCATTTGACTTGTTGTTACTAACAAATGATTGAGAAATCTGAATTTTTCCAATATTTAACTTTTTTTCGTAAATTGGTCGCCTTCACTCCCTTTTTTGATAATTTAAGGTCAAAGGCCTGCAAAAGATTTGGGAAGCATTCCAAAATTTTCGGATTAATTGACTAACGCCACGAAACTTCTAAAACCTTTGTCGCCCCCACCCCTCCTCCCCTTCTTCTCGGACGGACGTGATTATTTTCTACATCTATCTAAGCCTGGTCGATCCTGTAGGAGCACTGATAAACCAGCAAACTCCTTTTTCTTTTTAACGAGCTTGAAAAATGTACCTAGCAATTCCCATTCTCCATTGGGTTGATATGTGCCTACAGAAACTGAAGCGTTGCGCAAATCAGTGAAAAACCCTGAGTACGTCCATGATCCGAATTTCATGGAACAATGCTGAAACAAACTCTACTAGCTGCTTTATCTTTTAAGGAAACGAACTTGTGAATCAAAAGGAAAATAAGCAATGTCGATGCTGCAGCTAGATCTGATCACTGCTGGCGGAATCCAGGTAACATTTCCGGTGCTGCAAGTGCTACTACTGAGTCAAAATTAATTCCAAAGAGAAAAGTATGAACATACTGGTAAACAACAGCGTTGACTGGCCATGTGCTGTCAAATTGTTGATCCACGCTGTTGTACAGTAATACATCTGGTTTCCAGATGTTCGATATAGGTAGACGAACTTCCCGAATATTACCGTATTCGGAGGGCTCCCAAGTCAGATAGTGATCAATCCAACTCTGAAGTGAAAGCGTTTTTCGAAAGTTCGGCCATATCCCGATTGGGATATCTTTCGAAATAATTTGTTACACTTCTTTGTTTTCGCCTTTTTCAAACGATGAACGTCGTTTAGCGAAAGCGAGAGCAACCTCATCTATCAAAACTTCATTTGATCCTCGAGGGACTCGTAGAGGAAGAAGAAGACGGAGGAAGCGCAGTGTTCGCTGATCTAGTTCAAGTGATTGATGATAGTGCTTTCAAGGAATTATTTCTAGAAATCGGTTATAGGTGACAAAAGTTTCACGAGAATTGAAAAATGGAAATGATTTAAGGGCTTTGTTTGTAAAATTTTTTCTTTCATTAGGAATACGTTAGAAAGGTCAGTAAAACTGGTTCCATTGAACCGATCACGTACTCATGACTTAGCACTATTATTTAGTCAAGCAGCATATGCGACGCAACTAGCAGTAAAAGCAGAAAATTTCCAGAAAAGCTTTTCTTGTAAT